AACTCGCCCATGCCCTCCAATCATGTTCCTGATAATCAAAACCCCACCAGCACCTTTCAGTTACTCCCCCCATATTCCTCATTGACTGAGCTTGCGTCTGAATTCGAGGTCGGTACGAGATGGTTCCACAATCCAAATATCTGCTGATTGGTTTGCCTGTTGTGACTTTAGCGGGCATTGCTGTGCTTTGGTGGAAACAGCATGCGAAAAAGCGCTCTTTTAAGGAAGTCGGGAGTGTTACTGGTCTGTTCGTCTACCCGGTGAAATCTTGCAAGGGTATCCGTATGGACAGTGTGAAATGTTTCAAGGAAGGGATGGAGTATGACAGGTGAATTTTAATTTCCTCTTTACCTCAGGCATTTGATCTCAACGCCTTGCGACTCCTCCATTCATTTTCCGGAAATATCAAAGAGGTGCGACTAATTTGATTCAACGCGCCGACAATTAATAATGTCAGGCAGTTTTCCTTCGTCCTTATTCGATCACCCGTGCACACTGCACACAGGACACAAATACCGGCTAGAGACCTTCCAAAACTCTGGATGACTCTTACCCAAGAAAAGTCATCGTATGGGTAGATTAGAGCTTCCTCAGCGTGCTAGGGTTCGACTAGTTTTTTCCAGAGTTTTTAACTCTGCTTTTTCTAAACGTTCGCGGCGGGGGTAATCTACGCTGTGATCCGCTGTGATCGATTTGTTCGAATCGGATGACTAACAACACCGAAAGTAGCCTGAGTATCAGGCGTTTCTGGGAGTGTTTCTGGGGGAAAGGTAAGAGAGAAGCGAGAAAGGAAGAGAGCGAAGGCCTGACACCAGCACTCAGGCTACAGCGAAAGGCAACCTGCAATCAAACAACCGTAGGAGGAAATCATGCGTACAGAAATGGATACACGGAAGATAGAAGTAAATATAGGAGATGACAATGGAAGTATCGAAAAAAATGGCACATGGTAGTTTTGGAAGACAAATATTTTAAAACGCAAATCTTTTCGAAATTTATGTGTAACGATAAAGTAAACCGATGAAATCAAAGATAAAGTCACCTGAAATTTGCGATGCGTCAGTTATATCTCACAAAAAACTACTTGGTTCTTTCGACCTCAAATGTTGCTGCTGCTTATAGTAGCAACGTTTTACTTGTCAATTCATGTCAAAGCGGTTCAAATAAAATATCTTAGTACAGAAAATCGATTTTGAAAAAAGTAATTATAATACTGGCATTGTGCCAATTTTTACACTCCGTGTCTGTTTTGAAATGATTTCACCACAGGGTCGCGCTTCAACATTGCGGTTATTACGTAACTTTCTCTCTCAAACCCACCATTTGCTGTGAAAAGAAAAAGAAAAGAAAAACAAACAGAAAGTAAACCATAGCGGTATTTTAGAATGTTACGAATTGGTGTCCGGTAATGGAACGTGACTTCCAAATAAAGAAAGGCAAGGATTGTACTTGCGTGACACCTCGGCATTATTGCATTACCAAGACGTTGGATGTGGTTACCACTTTTAATACCCGGTCAAGCTGTGGCTGTGAAGATTTCTTGATTGCTTTTAGTCAGTTTTGATTTTTCATGAACTAGATAGCTCACGGCCACGACTTGGCGGAGGACGGGTTCATAGTCACGTTAATTTTTTTTTTCTCTCACAACCATTTTCTCCGAATTATCCCATTAAGCAATAAAAGTAAGTTACAACAAATGTAAAACATCGTATGATTACGTTCAAGTTATCCACTTGCTTAAGATCTGATAAATGATATTAGGAAAGAAAGAAAGAAAGGCAAAAACTCAAAGTTATAGGGATTCCCGTCGTTGGTGACGTATCATGGTTACACCTATAAATTTTGGGAGATTCTATAAAAAGAAGAAAAAAATTACGTAAATCTGTTTGTGTTTTTTTTTTTTTTGTAGTTCTTTTGCCTTGACTTTATGTTTCTAGTATGTACTTAAACTATTCTTAGTCCACAGATTTCTCTTGTTACCTTGTTAGACTTGATAATCGCTTGTTATGGTTGGAAATGGTTAGTTTGATAGGTGGTCATGTTTGAGTTGGTAAAACTGACCTTGAGTTTTACCCACACTGAATATCCTGTTTGTGCGCGTGATTTTCATGTGCAGCTCGATCATTGGCGTTTAACTGGTTCCTTGGTGCTCGCCAAGTGCTTCGGAGCGAGCTACCCAATTTCCCCCTTTGCAAAACAACGAATGCATTGTGGAAACTCCCACGGTCAGCAGCTAACCCACACATGTCTGTGATTTTTGCATTTAATGCGTGGGAACTCCTTGCTAAAAGTAGAAGAAAAGTAGCAGCAGCAGCAGAGGAAGAAGAGACACGAAACGTTGTAGTAGGAAAGAATAAAAAGAGAGAAGAGTCTAGAGTCTCAGAACTTCTCGTTAAAAGCCAAGCGAGTGGTAAAGACCCCCAACAGTTATATGATTGTGATAGTTAGATCTATATCTCATTTTTTGATTAGACTGCTCAAGAAACTGTTCCATTGGAACACTAAATTCCGCTTGTGATGCGTGCACATGCAGTCACCACGTGTTGAGTGGCCGAGTCTTGACAGAGGATGATATACCGCTCTCAGAAGCAAACATATCACTGGCGGAGACACCCTACAACATTATTGCACAAACAAATATCAGCGGATACTTTGTGACTCTGGGAGTTTGTGCAATCCAACAAGAGCTGTTAGTTACCAAAGCAGGGTTTGTCCCCGTGAAACTAACGGCAAATGTTACGACATCAACAACTGCTAATATTACAGCCAAAATGGAAATGGCAGGTACGCTCCAAATTACTATTTCGAACCATCACAGGTCCCTGTAAATACTCACTCTCCATCTTTCCAGTTCCTTTTATATATATAATTATACTTCAAGATCTAGGTTACTTGAACTTTTACTGCAACTCTGGGTTTCATGCCTCTTGCGAAACAATCGTCAGGCAACGATGAAACATGAAGCAAACTTCTAACTGTTCCAGCTTTAATGTGGCGATGTTTCGGCCTTCGGCCTTCTTAAGGNGTGATACGAGATTTACTGCAATTTTAATTGCAAAAAAATTTTAATTTTAATTTTAAAAAACGTCACACGAAGAACAATGTTTGGCAATGGCGAGATAGGCTCAAGAGATTTTCTAAATGTTTACCTGTGTTTTTTGTTTTTGTTTTTTGTTTTTAATTTAATAGAGATGACTTATAGACATCACATGACACTGGACGGGCAATACTTAGCGCTTGAAATCATGGACACAGCCGGGGAGGTAAATTACGTAAATTTGTTTGTTTTTTTTTTTTTTTTGTAGTTCTTTCAGTTGTTGTTGTTTGTATTTCTTGTCTCTGCTGTTTTCTTCTGTGTGTTTGTTTAATCATACTGTCGTTCTTACTGTTGCTATGTAGTTTGGTTGAAGTGTTGTCATTTTTCATGGGTAATGTAGCAGGGGATCTTTGAAGTGGCTGGGGGGGGGGGGAAGGAGTTGGGTCAAGAAGAGTCAGAGCCTCTTTATCAAAGTTTTTTCATTTATCTACATTAAATTTTTCTAAGGCACTGGATTGTTCTGGATCCAAAAGGGAACTTTATAACACAGCGTAAAGATCCAAAACTAGCACTGGTTGTTCCTCATTTTGAGGATGGCAGATATCTTTGCCTGAATGCTCCTGGAATGGAAATGTTAAAAATGGAAATACAGCTACCAGTGGATCAAAAGGAATTCAAACGAATAAAGTAAGTGCAAGAAAAATTTTCAGAACCATTCAAAAATGGGCAATCTTACCTAATTTACTTGCATGACAATCTTTTGTCTAAAACTTGTAACTAACCTTTTAATTACAGTAAAATATTTTAAAAAATTGCACAGGATATTTGGAATGGAGGGAGAGGGCCAGTATGTAGGTGACGAAGCCTCTGAGTGGTTTTCTAAGTACATGAACAAACCTGGGTATAAGATGTACAAGTTATCCAGGACTCGCATAATAAGGACACACGATGAATGGAGTGATATTGGAGAGGCTGGAGACCAGGTAAGAGGCCTGAGGGGGGTTGAAGGATTTTGATGGAAGTGTCACAATAATTTATACTGGATCCCCTAGGGCTCTGTAATATGATCCCCCTCCCCACCCTTATTGGCAGTCAATTTTAAATACTCTGTTGATGACTGATCCCTTCTCCATTCCCCTCGAAAAACCATGTGATTCCTCAAAATCCTCTGGCCCACCCCTTATGCAATAAATCATAACTGGTCCCTAATGGAACATGAAAGTATTTTTTTTTTGCTATTTAAACCACAGTAACTGTGGTTACTGCCATCTTTTTGAGATCTGGAATGGTCTAATAATCTGTTATCCAGTTACCATTATACCTTCAAATGCTGCAAGACTAATTGATGTATAATTTTCTGAAACACAAACAAGAAATTGGAATTGTATTTTTTTTTCCTTGAAATTTTTTTGAGCATTTAGCTGTTCAGTGGAATGTAACATAATTATGCTATGTAAATTTTGACAATATATCTCTGCTGGATCAGTTTACTTTTTTCCTAAAATTCACAGGCAACATTTGGGGATTTTGCTCCATACATGATTCTTGCTGAAGCTTGCTTAGCTTCATTGAATCAAGAACTTTCATCACCTTTGGAAATGGAGCGATTCCGGCCTAACATTGTGATCAATGGTTTAAAAGCATTTGAGGAGGTCAGTTTGTCAACAAGCCAATTTTCATTCTTTTTGTAAATGGCTGTGATCATAAAAATATCATGAATGCTTAATTTTTAAATTATTGATGGTGATAATTCTACAAAATTTTCAAAGCATAACTTAATTTGTAATTTTGATCTACCATGTGAAAGCTAAGAAAAAGTTATCATTGGACATGGCTCCTATAATAATTGCTTGCTGACATTTTAATGCAATGTCTAGTTGGTAAACCTGTGATTTAACTTTCTATCATCTTTTTTCAAAACTCAAAATTTTGAAATTTACTCGCAGGACAAATGGGAAGGGGGAAGAAAAATCAAAATTGGTGATGTAGTGTTTCGGTACCTGAACCACTGTGCAAGGTAAGCTTTTCAAGATTTTGTAAGTGCCATATATATATATATATATATTTTAAATTCAAAGGTAATGATCAACAGGTAATGATTTCGAGTACATTGAACATGTATTTGCTGCAAAATTAAAAATGATTGACTTTACAGATCTTGATTGATCAGAACTGTCTTTCTTTAAAAGGTGCAGTCTGCCAATTGTTAATCCAAAAACTGGAGAGAAAAAAGGAGAAGAGCCTTTGAAAACTTTGCGAAGGTAGAAATAAAATTTAAAATCTAGTCCATTCAATGTTAAGTCACGATTTTCTAGAGAAAGAAAGGTGAAAAGAAAAACAAAGATGATAAGTTTTGAGCTTGCTAAAGAAATAGAAAAATGTTTTTCATCTTGCTACAAGTATTGGACAAAGAAAAAAATCTGAGTCCCCCATGAACCTCAGACTTTCAGATTACACACTCTGATGCTCTACTACTGAGCCCCTATGGTGAGCATTAGACCCACTACATAGTTCAGATATGACACTTCTTCTGCATATACTGCTTGGATCAGCAATGTTGATAGCATCATGCTTTGTAAATAGAAAAAGAAAGATGGTAAGTTTTGAACTCGGTAAATAAATAGAGAAAGATGTTCTTTCGACTTGTCATGAGCATGGGACAAAGAAATATAAAAGAAGAAAGGTGATTGACAGAGCACATGTGGGTGACAATTCCTGACAGTTTTTCACCCTTCCTCATGTTACATATTCCAACCAGTACATTGCTTCTAAAAATCAACTAAACCTTGTGGCATATTTAATTTTTTTTTAGAATAAGGCTTCCCGAGGATAGGGATCCACGATATGACAGATCCCCTCTGTTTGGGATCAATGCCGCTCCAGATACGGATGGCATGGGGGTCATATGTCAGGGAGATAGTGTCATGATTTGGTCTTAAGCCATCTTGGAGGATAACATTCCAGTTCTCATTCATATGTTCCATAACAAGTTTAGCTTCCAAAAGAACTGCATAATATGCATTATTTTTTTAAAAGTAAAGACAGTTACTCAGATCTAAAGTTGTATTGATTCTAATGGTTCATTTGGGTGCATGTGCAAATTTGTTTAGTTGTCTGCATTTCCTTGACAGACATTAAAATGAATTGAAAACTGTTCTATCCTGACTGGTGGTAATTTTTGTACTGGAGCAATATTAACCCATTGACCCTTAACTGACTAGCATCTAATTTCTCCTTACAATATCAGCCCTGAATCACACATTAAAGTCACGAGAATAAAGGAAATGATCACCAACTAAAGAAGCTCTTGATTGTTGAACAAATTCTCCTTGTCAGCACCTCAGGAAATGTATAGAGAACAGTATGGAGAATATGCATACTGATGTGTTGGGGTGTAAAGAGTTATAATGATAAAGTATTTGTCAACCACTGTCAGTGATAACTAACTTAATATATTAAACAATTCAAATATAAAACACCAAATGGATGAATTAAAATTCTCTCTGGACAAATAGATCAGTCAGTTTGTTTGAACACTTTCCTTTCCTGAGCTAGCAATTAAAACACTTCAAATGAACATTGGAAGAGCTACAGTAAACGCTGATCAAAGAGTGCATACAAAATGGTGTCAAGGTAGGAGGGGGCTAGGAGCATGCAAAGTAAGGGGATTTTTCTTTTCTCTTTCTCTGTTCACCTGTCTTTGTGAGGTTTTTTCTTTTTTTTTTTTCTTTTTTTCACAGCCTGCCCATTGTTGGTTATTTGCATCAATTTAAAATCAAATTCAATAAAGCAAAATAGCAACAAACAATATTAGTAGATACAATGTTTATTTGTTGGTTAATTGCCACAACTTTACTTCGTGCATAGAGAAGTATTACCAACCTCACTTCATGTTTTTATGAGAAGCTAGACTATTCCACCATACATTTAAGTTATTATTACAAACCCAAACACCATTAGATACGTAACTTTCAACATGTTTGCATAATTAAGCCATCAGATTTAAATAAGAATTGGAACCTCCAGTTTTATTGGTAGCCCTCACCTCCTCCATGGCTAAAATATTAAATAAGAACCTCTCATAATGATTACACCACCCCTTCCCTAGAACAAACATCAGTCAATTAATCTATCAATCAATAAAAAAAAAAAAAATAGATATAAAAGTATAGTGTAGATTTTCTTTCCATTTCTTCCAGGGGAAAAATATTGAGCGTATCAGGTGGTTTTCAGTCAGTGAGATGCATATGAAATCTGGAAATGTGACCCAAACAAACAAACAAACAAACAAACAAAAAACAGTTCTGAAAAAAAGAGGTGAAAGAAGACTTATTGTCTGAGTTAATAAATACAACAACATGCTATACCATAAACCTTTCAGCACAGATATGTGTTCCAACTGAAAGATAAAATCAGGTGAAAAGCTTTCAACAATTTTGGCTTACTTAAGAAAAAGGACAGACTTTGTCATACCCCCAAATCTGACACACAATAATGCTACACTTTACCTTAACTTGCAAAATTATACAATAAGTAACCTTATAATTTACCACAATTTATTCTTTATTGAGATTGTACGTGGCAATTATTCTGAAACCATGACAGCATCTCCAATCCTTATAACTCCAACTGCATTGCCCACAGGGGCAACAAGAACTCCAAACAGAGGGGCATTCCCTTGTCTTGGGTCTCTGTCTTCAGGGAGCCTTATTCTGAAAATAAATTAAAAAAGGTGCATTTGTTAGCAAAATGACATGCATTCTCAGGCATCAGCTCATCAAAAAGGAGTTGAGTAAAAAAGTAAACAATCCAAAGCAATGATTTCTTCTTTTTAATTAAGTTTTGTACCCTAACCACAGTATGCAATGCCTGCACTGTTCTCAATACATTTTCTAAGGTGCTGACAAGGAGAATTTGTTTAACAATCAAGAGCTTGTTTTAGTCAGTGGTCATTTCCTTTATTCATGTGACCTTCATGTAAGATTCAGAAGTGGTCCTATAGGTAGAAATTGGCTGCTAGTCACCCTTACAGAATAAAGGGTTAAGAAAGGACATGATAATTCTTGTACACTATATACAACAAAATAAAAATCTTCCAATGCCAAGGTCTCAATCTATTTTCATCTAACAGTAATTCTCCCGATTGTCTACTATACATTTCTCATAATTTTATTGCTGAGAGTTTGGTTTTGGATCAACAATAATCCCCTGGTTGATGTTTTCCTGTCTTCTTATCAATGAAGGTATCTGAACAAATATAACACCTACCCATCCCTCCCCTAACCTATGTTAAGCTTAATAGGGGAGGGGTACGTAGGTGGACAGTTACTTAGATACTTACATTGATCCATTGATATAATAACTGTATTGAAATTGGAGGGAGAAATAATGTCTTGATCACTCTTAGGATTGACAATAGGTTTGAGGAATTTAGTTATAACATATCAATTTATTCTCCTTGTCTCAAAATTAAAAAGGAAAACCTCAGATCTTTAAAATTGACCAGAGAAATTCTAAATGAGTAGCTGGAAAGTATCCAGTTCTCTGATGCCTAGAGGTCATTATTCCCTGCCAGATTGTGGTCACAAGCCATTGTCAAAAAGGGCTCCGTCAAAATAACACTACATCATACTATAACACAACAACCACAAAGTAAAATTTTGCCTTTTGATCAATCAGTTAATAATGAAAATCAATTTTATCTTCAATGGGTTTTCACCGCTTATTACTTGAAGTAAGAATGCATTCATTCTCGTATTGTGGGATAAGGTTTGGAATCTTGCGAAGTGATCTGACAATATGAACTTCTGCCAATTCAATTAATAATAAAAACAATTACCTCCTTAAAGTGGCCAAAGGTTCATCTCCTTCTTTTTCGCCTGTGTCAGGATTCACTGTTGTTAACAGACACCTAAATATAAACAATTTCAGAAAATGGACACTACAAATAGCGAGTAACTTAAAATTGAAAGATGAAAATCCAGCTGCACAAACTTTTCAGCCAGCAGTCAAACTAACTGCAATTTATTATATAATTATAGAATTTAATATGCAACCATTACTACAAAGCAAGTATTAAATAAAATGCTAATTTGGAAAAATGAAGCCTGAAAAATTAGGCTAGCATAATTTATGTGAGCTTATAAGAGGTTCCTCTACTAAAAACATGGCCCTTAAAGGGCATATCTGACAATAAAAGTAAAAGACCTGTATAGATTGGCATACTGCAATGGACCTGCAATGAAATTCTAGGTCTGGCTTCAGATGTGGGCTGAGTTACTTGTTGGCTGATATCATTGCTACAGTGGAACCCAGATACAATGATCCTCAATATAACAATATTCCTAGTACAACGATAAATATGCTATGTCCCAGCAAAAGTTACAGTAAAATGTATGGGACAGAACCCCATCTCGGCATAACGATAACTCGATACAGTGATCTAAATCCACTTGGCTCCAGCGAAGGGCTAATGCTCGAAATATCAGCTTCTGTAATTGTTATGGTGGCCAATTTGCCATTTCAACTTTGTTGATATATCCAAATTATTTTGTTACTCCCACCGACGCAGCCCCAAACAGTTTCTTTCAAAACTATCAGCCTTAATTCCACTGCTCCCTTGGCATATCGTTATATCGGGGTTCCACTGTATCTTGGTTAGAGTTTCTCTCCCAATTCATCCATTTTCTTCCCTTAACCCTAGCCTTTAACTCACAAGATCTGATTGTTAATTCTCCCCTCTAGCTGCTACATGTTTCCTTGCAAGTGTAGTTACGAGAATCAGTTAGATTAAGAACAGCTTGTAACTGATAAGTTTGAGTATTCTCATCACCTGTTTGCTGGATAATGTATGGATATTATAAGGAAAAATTACATGTTAATCTCTACTGAGAAATAAAGAGTTGACAGGGTTTCAATAACTTTTTCCATATATAAGTGGCTGCCAAAAGTGCACTAGGTGGCTTGCCTGTGTCATATCCTGTGTCACTTACATGGAGATGTTACCATTGATAGTACATCTTGTCTTTCCTACATGACGTTGTAGATCCTGGATGGGATTGGCAAAATCCTGCCTAAATCCCACCAATCCCACCTGGGATCCCGGGTGGGATGTGAAAATCTTGCATTTAAGGTGGGATCGCAGGTGGGATCATCTTTTAATCCCAAGCAAGAATGGCAGAATCCCTACCTTGGGTTACGGGATCCTGCCATTCCCACCCGGGATACCGGGTGAGATTGATGGGATCCCACATTTAAGGCGGGATCCCAGGTGGGATAATCTTTGATTCCCAGGCAGGAATGGCAGGATCCCGCCTTGAGTAGTGGGATCCCGCCATTCCCACCCGGGATCCCAGGTGGGATCCCAGATTTCAGGCGGGATCCCAGGTGGGATCATCTTTGATTCCCAGGCAGGAATGGCAGGATCCTGCCTTAGGTGGTGGGATCCCACCATTCCCACCCAGAATCCCGGGTGGGATTGATGGGATCCCACATTTAAGGCGGGATACCAGGTGGGATCATCTTTGATTCCCAGGTGGGAATGGCGGGATCCCGGGTGACTTTTTACCTGGGTTACCACCATATATAAATACGGGAACTTTGCACGTGTGAATGTGATAGTTTATTCTCAGAATATAATAAACAACTCATGGTCTTGAAGTGCTCTGTTGTAAGCTCATATATATATATATATATATATATCGACGGTCCCAACAACCTGCGAAAGGGGTCATAAAGCAAAACCCTACAAGAAAGCCTCCTCACAAGCTAAACAGATGACAAAAGAGGTCTTACGATACAGGCTCAGTAGAGACTGTTGATAACCAGCCTTAATTTAAACCCCTGCCCTGACTAAAACTAACTTGTTTTTTTCAATGTATTTTATGACTGACTTAATTACCTTCCACAGCGTTTCAGGAATCTAAATTCAACATCGCCAACTTTTATTATCTTAGCTGCCCACTTGTCCTATAAAAAAGAGAGAGAAGATAAAACTATGATAATAATAATGGAAGCCTAATCAATTTTAATACAACAGTGTAGAATGGATTGATATAAATTATTTTCATTAGCCGTTCATCCGTTCATCCGTTCAACCTAATCCATTCGAAAATTGTTATTAGCTGTTCCTCCATTCACAGTATCTGTTTCGAACGGCTTGCCTAGCTGTTTGTTACCCGTTCGCTTGCCGTTCCGTTCACTGTTCAATTGGCTACCATTCAGAACGTTTTCGCGTGAGAGGTCACATATATATACTGACCTCATCAAAAGCCCTCATGCCCTCAACCACAACATTAGGACGGAATCTTTCCATTGTCACGGGAGATGAAAGTTCTTCGTTCACCGCTTCTAATGAGGCCTCTGTTGCAATCATGTATGGAGCAAAATCTCCAAATGCTGACTGGATTAAACAACAAATGAGATATAGGAAGAAAAGTTTAGAAAAAAGTCTTAAATTGCTTTTAGTTATAAATGATCCAGCAACATCCTCTGTCACTAAATGATGACTCTTCAGTAGAGTTTAAATATTGTATTTTCACGCTACTGTACATCTTACATGAACTAAAAATGAATGTTTGTGTTGCATAGTTTTGCAATGATTTCAATTATTGGCCTTGCCTTTTTCCTTCTTTGTTCAAAATGTAAGTCTATTAGATGGTTTTGGATTTCTGAGAGAATCGCATCAGTCCAAACCAGTATACCATACCGGTCTATACATAATTTTATGAATAATCCAGGGATATTTCTAATTAAAAGAAACTGTGGGGCTGTATCGTTGGAGTTTATATCAACTGGGGTAATTTTTGTTTCATAAATGGAGTTGACAATGAAAGCTGACCACCATGAAGAGTTTCAAAGCTGACATTTATAGCATTTGCCCTCTGTGATTCACTCTGATGCAGGGCTAACCCTTGAAATGTCAGCTTTGAAACACTTTATGATGGTCAGTTTAAATCATCAGCTCAGTTGGTAAAACCAAAATTTAACCTGGCCTATACCCAGCTTCTCCTTTTTGTTTTATTACATTTACCTTGTCATCTGGTAGAGCAACATCACCCCACTTGTCATCTTCACAAATCACTCTTGGTTTGGAAAGTTTATACATCTTGTATCCAGGTTTATTTAAAAAATTGGAGATCCACTCTGCTGCTTCATCGCCACAATAGAGACCTTCTCCATAAATCCTCCAAACCCTGGAATTTAAAACAAAACAAAAAAAAAATGAATAAATATAAGGGCACAAAAAGAAATATGAAATCATATTAAACCCACTTTTCTACTATATATTTTCCAAACTAAGGAGAATCTGCAAAATCCACTAAAATTAAAATGTACTAAATTCTCATGGAAAACCCCATGTAACTTTTCAAAGTTTTAAAAAAATTACTAAAACAAACTAAAACTTAAAAAAAAAAAAAAAAATAGTAGACAGGTTTGTATACAATACAAACAAATTCTTTCCTTGATTAAATTGCATACTTGCATAAGCTGAATTACACACAGGGTTGTCATCAAAAACTTGTAGGCAATTGAAACCCACCAGCTGTCAGACCATTTTGTGCTTGTTACTTCGTGAATTATGGTGAAAGACAGAATATGAGTAAAAAAACTTTTCGAAAATAGGTCCCAGTATATATATACATGTTGCAGGTAAAAATTAAATTCAGGTAAAAAAATTTTAACCTAGGTTGAATTTCAATTTCCTTTGTCTCCGAGCCCTATTTATTCACAATTAGGGCTTGGAGACAAAGAGAATTGAAATTCAACCTTGGTTAAATTTTTTTTACCTGCAACATATACACTAGGGGAGCTTGCCCCCAGACCACCTTTGAAGGGCATGTTCCAGGGCAACACACTATGCTTGCATAGATCATAAACCCACTACATTTTTCTTATGAAAGCCCTGTACACAAGAACCATGTTTTACTTTATCTTCTTGTATTCCTGTTTATCTGCAGGTACTTGTAATTCTATGTCCATTTTCAAGGTTTCCATTCCAGGGGCATCAAGACAAAGATATTTTCCATCTTCAAAGCGAGGAACAATCAGGGCTAGCTTTGGATCTTTACGCTGGGATACGAAGGTATCATTGGCATCCACTAGAATCCAACGCCTGTTGAAAATAATGTCAATTTGTAAAAATTTACGCCAGATCTGAATCCTCTAGCCTTAAGTTAAGGCCCCAAACCAAAACCCTCCCTGACAAGCTGATGCTTTTGCCTGCCTAAATCTTACTCTTGTGAAACAAACCAACTTTATAACACTGATGATGAAATAAGATTGGTCAATTATCTTTAGAAGGCAAAGTCATGGAAATTAAGGGCAGTGTGGTTCAAATTGTTTTCAATATTTCAACCTTTCATACTCTTGAATCTGTATAAATATTGTCATACTGTTCTCTACGTATTTCCAATGGTACATTCAAAAAGTGAATTTGTTTTGACAAGTGTCTTTGATAGTCATCATTTCCTTCATTCTCATGGCCTTGATGTTGGATTTAGCAGTGACAATGCTAGGAGAAACTAGAATCTAGAATCTGTCGCTCTTTTCTCGCAGAAAAAGTGTACTTCTTATAAATTGACAGAAGCATTTGAATGTCAATATGGATTCTGGGGAGACATTAATGCTCCCTAACAAATCATTTTCATTAACTCCAAACTTTACTAATTCATCAGGAAGTTGAAATGCAGTGCAGTGTGTATTTGCAATTTCAATTCCTTTTTTTGCCAGTTTGTGCAGTTTATAGCAATTAGGTATAGTTTAGGTAGTTTTGTGGTTTTGGATCTCTGTTAAGCTCTTTGTGAGGTAAAAACAATAATTCAATCTTATGTTATGCAGGCCTTAACCCATGCTCTTCATCTGATGCATGTAATACCCATACTTCAACACAAGCTTAACTGTGACAAGTCATACGAAAATACGAGGGGGGGGGAGAGGTTTTTCACACGTACAGCATTAAGTGTTTTTACTTCATGACCAGTAAAAATACCAAACTAGAACCCTGTGAGCAGTGAATTTCTTTTTTTTTTTTTGCCATATGTAAACCTTCAAGTTGTTTGTCCGATTTTTCGTGATGCGTTCTTTCTACTTTTTGATGTGCGTGAGACGTGTGCAAGGCTCCCCCTTTAACCCTCTTTGAATGACCTTTGGTATGGCGGGTTAAATTAGCACGACTTTATTTACTTAGCTCTCATCTTTACCAAAAATACTTTTTTAGAGGCGTTCGATCGTTGAACGCTGAAAACTGTCGGGGAAAACCAAGTTATCAGAATCGATTTATCGCCTTCTTTTAGTAGTGGAGTAAGGAGTATAGCTAGTAATTTGCTCTAGTTCATGAGGCTACCAAATCGCCCTCCGATTCTGGCAGCTACATGCATACAGACTAAAAAGGAGCCTTTCCCCAGCAATTTCAATGCATTTTCGTTTACTGCCTCATGCTTAAAACAAGTTGATGGTAAAATCTCTCCAGTCTAACCTGTCGTACTCCATTCCTTCTTTGAAACACTTCACATCATCCACAGGAATTCCTTTGCAAGATTTCACGGGATAAATGATCAGGCTACAAACCCGCCCCACTTCTTGATAACGCCGTCTTTTCTCCTTACTCTGCCACCATAATGCAGCAAAACTCACCAAAACGACGGCGGGTAAGGCCATCAGCAGACATTTTGAGTACGAAATCGGCGCCATTTTTTCAGGATTTCGACTGACTTTGTAACCGAACCTTTGCCAGCCCAACCACCGAACTCGCCCCTTTCCGCACCCCGCCCCGCACAAAAAAGGCACTGCGGAGGGCTGGGAGAGGTTCGAAGACTGGATTCGAGAAAACGGCAGAAAAAATCGAACCAAGGCGTTCAAGATTTCAAATCCGAGAAAGAGGAGTGTGAGATAGGGTGGAGGGGGAGTAAAAAGTGGGAAATGCCGAAGGGAAGGGGGGAAGATGACAGGTGAGGGTTAGTAGAGGGTAGAAGGTAGAAAGCAAATGAAAAGTAGGCTAAGATGAGGGTAAGTAGGCTAAGATTACGGGAGGGGTGGGAGAGTAGAGGGGTGGGTTAACAGGGAAATTTAAGTTACAGCATCATAGATGCAAAAGCATTTCAATAATAAGTATTTCAATCTTTATTCTGCTACAAAGAGCTGTGTATTTTTGATGGTGTATGCCATGGTATTTTAAAATTTCCATATTGAGTCTACATTACAATGTAATTGATACTGTGATTACATCTAAACTCATAAAAGTGTTTTGTAAACACCAACTCTCTCTATAAGTATATTGACAATAACACCTAACTATAGTATTGAGAAGTTAATAAATAAAAGCAGGCCTTGCCAGCTCAGCTGGCAGTCTTTTTATTGACATGAAGCAGTTCTAAGGTCAATGTTTAGATATCAAGGCGCAGCTGAGTGAGTTACCAACAAATTTTGACCACTGCAATGATGAATATCATTTTGATGAGAGTACAGACCATGCTAAACCACTGTCAATTTGTTCTTTTACCACAATAGAGACATCAAATGTCGAATGTCTGTACTCTGATTGCCAACAGGTAAGGGCCCATCCGATTTCAACATTACAACCAATTATGGTGAAAATATCATATTATGATCCTTGCAGGTAATTAAATCATGTTTTTACCAGTGGATGGATGAGATAACAAATTGTGACAAATTGCTCTTCACATGCCACTGCAGAGAAAGAAGTCTGAAGAAGTTCAAGCTTCCACAGAGAATAACCCTTTGCCTCCCTCATACAAGTAGGGTGCTACTACCACCTGAGCTTTTGTACAGAGCCACATGTTGAGAGCATGGCACATTTAAGTGAGTTCTGTGATCGCCAGAAGAATCTAATCACAAAATAGTAAACATGAAATATAATTATTCTTGCATTATATTACCACAAACTATTTTCTAAATTAGCATTAAGGGAACTAGGCTGTCAGTGCCTCTTAATTTTCCAGTCATGTAGAGACCATCACCCGGTCTCCCAATTTTACAACCCCCATCTTATCTCCATCAAGAGCAAACTGTACTCCAAAAAGAGGAGCTCTTCCCTGCCTTGGATCTCTGTCCTCAGGGAGCCTTATCCTGTGAAAAGTCAAAGATCATTAATTACTGATAGTTGTCCCTCTTCTGATCCACACACATAACACTTTTCTGCAATTGCTAAAATTGCCACTTGTCTGCAAGGATTGTGGCTTTATCAGAAACTTTATCAGAAACACTGTCTCAGTAGTAGTAGTCTAAGATGTACCTAAGAAAGCTGCCATCAATATTTAATTATTATGGGATCAGTCCATGGCTGATGACCTCCACCTGAAAAGGTCTTTTTTTTTTTGCAATATGAAATTGACCTGGTAAAACCAACCTCGTTCCCAGGTCTCTCATCTTCCCCCTCCCTGGAGCGAGAGAGGAGAGACCTTGGAGCAAGAGAGGAGAGACCCTCTTGCTCCAGGGGGTAGGAGGATGAGAGACCCTTTGAACAAGGTTGCTGGTGAAACAAGCCATTTCAAAAATCAACTTAGGAAAAAAACTCATTTTTCCAAACTGTAACCACTAAGTATTTTTCCAAAGCATCTAAAAGAAACTTACCTATAAATACAATATTAAACACATTTCTAAGTGACTGAAATTTTCACTGACATTTTCTAACCATAGTGATTCATAATACTTGTGTAACAGCAGTCCCAAAAATACTGAGGAATAACATTAAAATAATACATGTACATGTATTAACAAGTAAGATATTACCTTTGCAGAGTAGCCAGAGGTTCATCTCCTTCCTTTTCTCCTGTTGCAGGGTTTATGGTTGTCAATGAACACCTTGGAAAATACAGTAAACACCCGCATAATTTATAAGAACACATGATTTTGGAGGCCAGGTTGATCAGGTTCTTATTTAGCGGGTGCTTAGTGAAAAATCAGCCTGAAGGTGTTCTTAAATTGTTCTTCAATTTTGTTGTTGAAATTCATGCGCATTTGAGCATATCCACATGGAGTTTGCGCACAACAAATGCTGTATTATTATTACTATTATTAATTCAGAACTGTAACAATGCAAAAAAATTGCTTGAGATTAAATTAGCATATTTAATGGCAAAGAAAATTAATAAATATCGTGACATTATTGTAGCAATTACCCTGCAAAAGAAAATCAGCCTTATTACTAGTTAACTAGTAAACAAAACAAGAAAATACATCTAACATGAAGGGCATGTTAATGTCTTACCCATTTTATAAGAACAATTTATATTTCCAGGCTGATTTTGTTCTTATAAATATGGTGCTTTATTTGCAAAATTTCTGATGTTCTTAATCCATGTGTTCTTATATGCGTGTGTTTACTGTAATCATATTTTTTTTTTCTTTTTCAGAGTTAAACCAAATCAGTGAGCTGTAGAAATATAGGGTTACATAAGACTGAAACTCTCAGAATCTCCTGACCAGGAGTTTATGGATTAACCCTCAACTCCCTTAAGAGATTAACATGTAGCTTCTCCCTATAATATCCATACACTATCCAGCAAACAGGTAATGAGAATACCCACACTTATCAGACAGAAACTTTTATCCTTAAATCATTGTAGCACCAAATTCTCCTAACAAATTACAATGGAATGTGTAGCAGCCTGAGGGGAGAATTCAAAATTAGATCTTGGGTGTTAAATGATTGAAACAACTTCTTTGACACATCACTTGTAAACTCACCTTCCACAGTTCTTCAGAAATCTGAACTCCACGTCCCCTATCTTAATTATCTTTTTTGACCACTTATCCTGTGGAAAGAAAGAGAGTCTGTCCGTGGCTTACTTTTTAATACATTTACCATGTTCACTCAATTAAGCACCCAACCTTGTATAAGTGCACGTGTACATTGAATAAGTGCCCACCCTATTGGTTGGGAAATTTAAGAAGCACCCAGCCTGAAATAAGTACCACCCCCACCTTTTCTCCCTCTCTACCCTCTGCCCCCCTTAAAAACAAAAAACAAAACAAAACAAAACAAAACAAAAAAAGAAGAGTAACTGAAGTGCACGAGGGGATTATTGTTCCTTTTCTTGTTTACAATCACAAAATTCACTGTCCATAGTACATCTTTAAGTTCTTTTTATTATACTATTCATTGTTTTTTTGCAAAATAAAGTCACTACTTGTTCAGAGATTTCAGTAACTTCGGAAGAAGGTGTATATTAGGACATAGGTAGGTAGAAGACGGTAATCGAGGCAGATTTTTCACCAGACTTTCTCTTCTGTCCATTCAACACGGCGCACAGCAAACCGATCGTGTTATTGATTGAATTGTTAGAACTTGTTACAAAAATCACCTAACAACCAAAAAGGAGACAAAATAAAAAAAAAAAACACCTTTATGGACGAGTGCCTTTACAATATATTGAACATTTCCCAAAGAACACACAAAAACCAGTGGGGTGGAATGGCCATAGTAGCCGGCTCCATTGTGGAGAGTAGCTGCCAGAATTCGCCGGTTGCTGGCTTTTAATGAAATCCCTGCTTGTTGAAAATGGTGTGCACAAGTTTTATAAGCACCCACCTAAAATACACACCCACTCTTGAGGTCTATAAATTTAACAAGCACCCAGAAGAGTACTTAATCAAACAAATATGTTAGTTAGTATTTTATTTAATTACCCTTACAAGAAATATGAGTGGGAATACAGACCTCATCATATGCCTTCAGACCACCAACAACAACATTTGGACGGAATCTTTCCATAGTAACTGGTGATGGAAGTTCTCCATTCAAAGCCACCAAAGATTGTTCAGATGTAATCATGTAAGGAGAAAAATTTCCAAATGACGCCTTGGTTAAAAAAAAAGGAGGAGAAAACAAAATAAGGCCTGGAATAAATCACCAAACTTCCCACCATTCCAAAATTCCTTCATCTTTGCATAAAATAATTAGATAAAAATGATTGAGGGGATAAAAGTTTAATTTCTTCCACACACTGATCCAATACCCTGACTGAGCTCTCCGGATGACATAATTCCATAATGGATATATGTCAAACCAAAACAACATTCTGCTCTTAAGTCTTATTGCCTTGTGACCTTCAAAGCTTACTAATAAACTTTATTCTGACTGGTAGTTCTGTAGCTTGAAGTGGCAAGGAGTATTGTTACCCTTTCCTTCACATGAACAGGATAACCAGTGCTATAATTCAGTCCATCCCAGTGTGCCCAAGAGTTTGTTAGTACCATTTATTACACAACTCGGGCAGTCAGGGAACCAATAACTAAAATCAACCAATCAAAATGTTCTATTGCCGGTCAATATTCTCTCAGTATTGGACCGGGCACTGTCCCGAATGGTCCCGAATGATACCACACTTGTGTCCCTTTGAACTTCAGTCGTATAAAAAATCTCTTATTAACCAAGCTTGCTCAGGACCGTACTGGAAGAATATCGGCACTCGGTCCATACTGTCAAGACCTCAGGCCGATATTCTCCCAGTACGGCCCCTGCGCTTGGTTAATAAGATATAAAATTATATATTTACTTACACCCTTGGATGGATAGACAAGAGTAACATGTCTTGTTCTTAGCAAGGAGCATAATTATCACAATAACTGTACCAGGGCTATTATTGACCTCTCAAACTCAATTCCAGTGCACTAGCCACTGCAGAACATAGAAGAAGAATATGCTAAAATAATGAAGAGCCTACTTCAGGCTATAAAGGTTTTTAGCTAGAGAATTCCGACTCTAGAGACTACCAGATTTTAAATCAAGGGTTAGACGCATCACATAATTTTAATATTACCTTGTCACCTGGCAAAGCAACATCACCCCACTTTTTATCCTCACAGATTAATTTAGGCCATGAGAGTTTATACAGCTTGCATCCAGGTCTCTTCAAATAATTTGAGAACCATTCCGCAGCTTCATCTCCAACATACTGACCTTCTCCGTAAACCCTGTACACCCTGAAAAAATACAGAAATGCCTCTCAGTATAAAGGATGGCTCTTATACAACCTACAAGGACACCATATTTGGGGCTCTTCTAACAGGGTAATTAGTATTCATTATCTGCCAACCTCTGGGAACCTGAAATCTGGAGAGACAATCAATTTTTGGACCATGTCCCTTTTCTCAGTCTCTAGTTGTTATTCTTGATTACTCCATGCCAGTTTCCGCCCCCCCCCCCCAAAAAAAAAAAAAAAAAAAAAACATTTCTTCATACTCAGTCCAAAAACAAACAAAATGTCAGAATTATAAATTTATCAACAGTGCAATCCTTGGTTGGTTTCTGTTAGTGTTAACTGGTGTTGAGAACAAAAAAACATTTGTGCTAATAACTGTGATCACCATCCTATTATTTACCATTGTAATGACATTCAACTTAAGCTACAAGATGGCCTATAAGGACATGCCAGATAACTTACAGTATCCTCTTCAACTCCTGCTTATCTTCTGATAACTCTGCGTCCAGTTTCAAGGTTTTCATTCCAGGGGCATCAAGGCAGAGATATTTCCCATCCTCAAAATGAGGAACAACCAAAGCTAGCTTTGGATCTACGCGCTGAGAAATAAAAGTATCATTCTTATCCACAAGAATCCAACGCCTGCCAAAAAAAACAATGATATTAAATCAATGTATGTGACAGTCACAGTCAAATGACATCCATCACCGTTGATCATAAGGATGTGTCCTCAGAGCTAGGGAAGAAAAGGGGAACCAGGGTAAATGGGTAGTCAAGAAAAAATATCAACCCATTTGATAGCCTAACTCTATATCATGAGACAAACTACAAAACATTTCGTTCAATCTACAAAGCCATGATGAACAACAACACTTTCTATAATCATAGAAAAGGTGCTTCACAAAAAAACAATATGTAATATGATATCGTGCAGTGGCACCATTTGGGGTGGGGTGGGGAGTAGGATTCCCATGCAACTTTTAAGTAAGAGCATATACCATTGCTCTGCTTCTTCAGCTACGTCTCTGTGGAAGGATGTCCCAAACACCCGAAAGATGCCACGATTTTTGACCTGCGTTTAAGACCCGCCAATTTTTTCGATCCCCCCCGGCCGGAATGACCATATGCAAATATCACTTGGTGTGCATGTATGGCACCTTAATTTCTTTCGCTAAATTCAGAAAAAGAAAAAACAAAAGGCGAAAAAAAGATCAACCATGATAGTCACCAAGCTGATAAGGTCTTTTTCTCCTTGAAATATTCCACATACTTGTAACTTCTGGAAAGACGTGCCAAACTCACGCGAACACATTAACACACACAACCCAAACCCTAACCTAGTTCTGGGCTCCTCTATTCCTTGTGAGCTGTTTCAATGCTCGTTTCGATTATTTTTATTCAAACGTTTCCGTTTCTTTGGCTATTTTTTCTTTTTGTCTTATCTTTGGACAAAAGCTAGGCCATGTTTACCTATCATATTCCATTCCTTCTTTGAAGCACTTCGCATTATCTACGCGAATTCCTTTGCAAGATTTCACCGGATAAATGATCAGGCTAGAAACACGACCCACTTCTGTGTAAGACCTTTCTCTCTCTTTCCGTTGCCACCATAATGCTGCAATACCCGCCAAGGCCACCACAGGTACAGAGATCAACAAATACTTTGAGAAAGCCGCCATTTTTTCATTTCTGACTTTGAGCTTAGTAACCAAGCCTAATTTCGCAAAACAATCATGGCGTCGGACGTGTCTCTAGAACCAGAAGCAAAGAAAGCGAGATTGAATAATACGTCTGAAGAATTACTTGGTAAGAACTCCTAACAAGGAAAATCAGAAATATATCCCCTTTTATTTTACACTGATTGGTTTCTATTTTGATCTCTTAAGAAAAGATCAAAGAAGAAGCAACATTTCCTCGACCTGTTCTTGCAGACGAGTACACGCGCGATTTTGAAGCAGGTATGAGGCGAAACTGCTCTCAATTCTGTGCTTCATTGGCTTTATTAACTAAACTCATGCATTTTGAATTTTCAGTGCAAGTTTACGCAGCTGATGTAAAGGACAAAACACAAACATCGCAACTCATTAGGTAAAAAAAAAAATTATAGTGATAAAAAACATGAGTGCCCGGTTTGCGTACTGAATTTTCGATTTCTTGCGACTTTTCTCTACTGTTTCATGTTTCAGAGTTTTAAATGAGATTTTGCCTTTAAAGGAGTTGAGGCATTTAAGACGAGTGCGTTGCTGCAAAATCAATGACGACGGTAAGTAATGACTCGGTAATGTAGCGCCTGTAAAATTCCACTCACTTTAAAATATAATTAAATTAAGATTTCAAATTGATTTTGATTTTTTATCACTCAAAATGTTTCCTACGCTTGTGAAAATTACAGAAAGAGTCATTGATAAAAAAACGGCCGTATTGATTCTATGTGGGAAATACACCATGTACGCGGTAGGTATTTAGACTATAAATTTCCATTTGAGAGGTATGTGATCTCCCATATGGTCTAGCGGTTAGGATTCCTGGTTTTCACCCAGGCGGCCCGGGTTCGACTCCCGGTATGGGAACACGATTTCTTTTTTCTCTTTTTTGTTTTCTTCGTTTCACTTCCAGTGATACTCTCACGTTTATATAGTTCTTCTATTCTATATATCCATTATTATTATTTTTAATTTTATAATGACCGTTACGTTTTTTAATAAATGTTTTGTCTAATTTCAGAATCACTTCTTCAAATAATCTTATGTGTAAGGAGTGAAAAAGAGGCAGACAATTCATTTACTCAACTTATAGAACAAAATAAAACAGCAGCAAAATCTCTAGGACGACCCTTTGTGGTTGATGTGGCAAAACATCCTCCTTTGACTAGAGAACAGTTTAACCAAGCATCTATTTTCTGGCCAGTCAATTTTCATGAGGACAAATAGTAAGTTAAAATTACAGAATGACTCTTCAATACCACCAGGGAATACATTTTGAATCAAAATATGTCTATATTGTAGAATTGTACATTTGTGATTGAGTTTATTTGGTAATTTTTAAGTTACATAATTTAAGACCATGCAAGTTTACTATCTTTGAGTTTGTTGATAACCCTTTACACCTGGAAACACTATGCATATTCTCCATGCTGTTCTATACGTACAAAGAGAACATTTTTTAACAATCAAGGGCTTCTTTAGATGTGATCATGTCCTTCATTTTCTTGACCTTCATGTATAATTCAGCAATGATTAGGGAATATATTAATTGTGTACTGTAAATCCTCAAGCAAGGCCCCTGGGGGAGCTTATTTATTTCAGGTATGTTGAGGGAATGGCTTATTTAAGGGGGTTGGGGGGGCTTATTTATTTAACCCAATGTTAATTACCAGGATACGATAAATTATGATGTACTGTATTTAGCAGTGATTAGGGAATATATTAATTGTGTACTGTAAATCCTGGGGGGGGGGGGGGAGGGGGGCTTATTTATTTCAGGTATGTTGAGGGAATGGCTTATTTAAGGGGGAGGGGGGGGCTTATTTATTTAACCCAATGTTAATTACCAGGATACGATAAATTATGATGTACTGTATTTATTCAAAAATTGTTCTCATTTTACATTTTTTCATTTACCAAATTGGCAGAGTCAAAATCCTCCTTAAAGTCTGGTGAGTTGTATGATTAAATTACATTACTTGAACGTATTAATCATACTTACTGACACGGAGTGTTATTTTGAATTTTTTTAGGGGGAGGGGTGGGGGGGCTTAACAAATTTGATCCCAAGAGGGAGACCTATTAGAGGAGGTGGCTTATTAGAGGGGAGCTTAATAGAGGATTTACGGTATGAGGCACTCTTAGTGTACAGCTTTGGGTTAGGAAAATATCTCCATATAAACTGCATGTAGCACTCTAATCTCTTCATTTAACCAGAAAATTTTTTTGTAGTGTTTCAAGGGTATTAAGAGGGGACCTATTTGACAAAGATGAAGTGTCGTTGATTGAAAAGTTCATGAGAATGGCAATAGCAGAAGCAAAGAACATGAGATCTAGAAAGGTAGGATGATGAAAGTAAAGATTTCCTTCCATTACATTTAATATGTCAATAGCTCAGCATAGAGTCAATGGATTTGTTCACCTACCACAGGGGTGTAGCCAGCTTATAGTCCTGTAGGCCCAGGCCTACAATTTTTTTCTGCCTGCTCAACTTTTATAATACAAGTTACAAATTCTGCAACAAAAATTGAACTTTCTTAGGGTACTGTGAGGCCTATAACAATCAAAAGGCTGGCTTCTCCCCAGCCTTCCCATCTTACATTCAGTTTCCTGTTCACATACCCACTCATTCTAGAAATTATATTTTTTGTGCTCATGGGGTTTGTGAATTTCAGAGAAATTCTGAAACATTGGCTAGTATTAGAGTGGAAATGTGTAAGCTTTCCATTTTATTTTCTCCTGAAAAAAAAAACTGTGGATCTTTTTATTTGCAGTTTCCCATTGGAGCTGTGATTGTTGATCCACAGAAGAACCACCCCATAGCTGCATGTCATGACTTAAGATGTGCAGGACACCCACTCCAACATGCTGTCATGGTGTGCCTGGATCTAGTAGCACATAGTCAGTCATCAGGTGCCTGGAAGCTTAACTGCCAAGAGGTGAATGGAGCATGGGCATTGAAAGACAAAGGTTCACAGTCACAGCAAAGAGCTTGTTGTTGTGGCAGATTTTATTCCAAAGACTGCAGCTCAGTGCAGAAAGAGTCATTGGATGAAAGATTTACTCATTGTAGGGAGCCATGCAATTTGCTAAAAGATACTGACAACAAATGCAAGTCAATGCCTTATCTTTGCACTGGATATGATCTCTATGTCACAAGGGAACCTTGTTCTATGTAAGTATCTTTAACACTTTTAAGTAATATTTATTTCCATAAGGTCGTAGTAGTAGCAAGTAGGATAAATATTGTAAGAAATATACAACATTTTGTAGAAATATACAACTAAAAAAAGTTGTATATTTCTAAAAAGTTGTATTATTTTTTAAGAAATATACAACTAAAAAAAGTTGTATATTTCTTACAACATTTTTTCATAGAAAGTCAAATACAAATCATAGTAGAGGACTCGAAGTTTATCTTTGTATCTCTCTTTTGTAAAATACATTACCGTAAAATGAATATCATACACCTTATTCCAAAATGGCTGCCGCCTGGCAAAAAATGTGGTGAGTTGCGAGTTGATGGTGAATTTTTTTTATTAATTAAAAGCCAAAAAAATACATTGCTTGATATTATATTGTCTAAAACAACCTATTTCAGGTATACTAATTGTACTTAAAGCACACCTTGTTGCATGAACTTGGGAATTTTGTGAAAATTTACTGGCATAGAATTGTGAGTTATTTGACTCTGACTGTCATGAGTGACCAACAGAGAATTTCTCCTTACAATATCAATACAATATCAAGCAGACAAGTGACGAGAATAAAGAAAAATATCAATTAGGGGATTATTAGTTGATCCAATACTAAATTCTCTGACCAAAATTTACAAGAATATGGCAGAGAATATGAAAAATTTCCAATGGGATCGTGGGAGTTAGTCGGTTAAACTTAGATGTTTCTGTTTCTGTCTTGTTATTCAAGCCACAATTTCTTAGAATTATTATTTTTTATTTCCCTCTAAGGTGTGCAATGGCTTTGGTGCACTCAAGAATCAGACGAGTTTTCTATGGCTGTAGTGACAATATAACTGGTGCTTTAGGCAGTAGATATAAGATTCATACTCAAACTGGACTTAACCATCATTATGAGGTGTTCTGTGGTGTGCTGGAAGATGACTGTAGAACTTTGTTTGAGAGAACTCCTTAATAGGAGATTAGTCAAGTGCAAGTGACAGAAGCTCTAATCCTGCAACTCCTAAAGAAATAAAGGTAAAAATTGCCTTAACATTTTCTGCTCTATGAATAAAGGGGGTAAGTTTCTAAAGAAACTGTAGTGCTGTGTCGGTGGGGGTANCATTGGAGCATTAGCCCCTCATCAGGGTGATTTTTTAATTGTAACATTTTTTTAATTATAACATATCATTCGCTCTAATGAAGGGCTAACGCTCAAAACGTCAGCTTCTTAACTCTTTACAGTGGCCAATTGACAATTTCAACTTTGTTGATATAACCAAATTTTCTGCACTATGTTGAGTTTGAAGAAAGTTATCACTTCCATGATGTTATCTGCCCTCAGCCCATTAACAAATAGTCTTGCAGTGAGATTAACATTTTAAATTTTACAGTACATGTCGCCTGCACAAGAGACTGCTCTTTTCTTTATATTTCCTTTTTAATCTATTTCCAAGAAATGAGTTTTTTTTTTAAATTATAACATATCAAATAAACGATTCCTCAAGCACGAAAGCAGTGTAAAATTATCAAGGTGATGTTGTACAAATAAGATTATGTTGTATTAAATTGTCAAAATTGAACTAAGAATTTATTGTCTAGTAGAAATACTATTGAAAAGTGTCCTATTCTCTGTGTATGATAAGTTTTTAAAAAGAAGTAGGAAGAAGTAGAAAAAATCCATACTCCTCGGACATCTTGCTGCTAAACAAATAGGGTACCTGGCCTATATTCGCAGCTTTAAATACTTTCGAGTATGAATTATTGATTATGTCAATATCGGACAAAGGCCATTGAAGGGAATTGGAAATAATGTGACGTCATGCATTCCGTGTCTCCACGACGTTACACAGCAGTTTATCGGGCAGTGTAAGATAATTTGCCCAGTACAAGGCTCTTAATCTTCTTGTAAACGATTCAAGAGATATTGTAAAGAATCTCAGTCACTTGGTGAACTTGTGGGGTATTATCAGGCGCCTTTTTGGGGTGAAACTTTTTTATATTTTCAACGAAAATATGTACAAGAACTACGCGTTGGCCATTTTAGCGGCAATGACCGTTGTGATATCTCTGTGGATGTCGCACACGAGCGCTGTTCCTTTGAATGGAACCGAAGTTGCAGGGAATTCTTCATCTTTGAACACGACGTCTAGAAACAGTAACTCTTCACTGCAGAATTCAACAGCTGCCAACTCGACGACTACGTGTAATGCCACAATCTCCAACTGCACGACGCAGAATTCTACTGTGCAGGGCAACGGAACTGTGGTTCATGTCCAAGTTAATTTGACAAATATCTGCGAGTCAAATAGAACAAAAAGTCTCCTTATATGCAACGGCACCGCGTTAAATCTCACAAAACACTGCGAGGTTGCTAAAACTGGTAACTTACCGCTTGTCTGCAGAAATGGAAGTGTCATAAATAGTTCCTCTATCGCTACATCAAACAACACAATTAATTCTGGAAATCGCACAATCGAAAATGCAACTTATTCGGTTAACGCAACAGCAGCGACGCCATCAATTCAGTCTCCAAATGCGACT